CGTCCGAAATTGGATTGTTGCAGACATGCGACCCACATAGTGCAAGTTGTCAGCTGTGCGTGAACTGTACGAAATTGGAACTCCACTGGAAGATTTTAGCTTCTCTTTTACACTCCCTCTTCCCACGCTCGAACTGGCCTCTACTTCCTCCTCCCTCTTCCCTCCCAGTGCTCTTGGAGTCACTTGCGCCCGTGCGCGTCTCAGTCTGTCTGGCAGTTCTGCGCTCGAGCCAGCGCGCAGTCGAGGGGGGCGAAAGGGGCTAGGAGGGACGGGAGCAGCCGTCGGGGGGGGGGGGGTACGCAAGGGGAGGCGGGCGGCCCTCCCCGTTCCCTTTCTCCTCCTCTCTCCTCCTCTCTCCTCCTCTCTCCTCCTCCTCCTCCTCTCCTCCTCCTCCTCCTCCTCCTGCTCCTCCTCCTCCTCCTCCTGCTCCTCCTCCTCCTCCTCCTCCTCCTCCTCCTCCTCCTCCTCCTCCCCCTCCTCCTCCTTCTCCACCTCCTCCTCCTCCTCCTCATTCTCCTCCTCCCCCTTCTCCTCCTCCTCGTCAACTGCAGAAGAGCACATCATCCAGGCACAGGGGGAGCCCCAGTCCTTGCCCCGCTCCGCCGCGCGACTGCTGGCGCTCAGGAGCACGGAGTACCCGCCCGCCTTTCGCTTCCCCCGTCCGTCTCCTCCGCCTCCTCCTCCTTCTCCTCCTCCTTCTCCTCCTCCTCCTCCTCATCCTCCTCCTCTCAGGCGACCGCAAACATGGATTAAGGGGGCGTGGATTAGTGACGGGTCCCGTTTCCATGGGAAATCGCAAATTCCCGCCGCCGAATGAGGCGGCACCGGCCGCATTTTGGGGAGGGCACTTCCCCCGATCCATGGATTTGGCGACCGCGCGCCAAATCCATGGATCGCTAATCCATGTTTGCGATCCCTCGATCCTCCTCCTCCTCCTCCTCCTCCTCCTCCTCCTCCTCCTCCTCCTCCTCTCCCCCGTCGCTCCAGAGGGGCACAGGCACGGCTGGGATGTTCCACTTGCCAAGCCCTGCCCAGCGCCCCCCGTGCCCGCCGCGCGCTGTCGGTCTTCTGACTTGTGGCTGCTTGGCGGAGTGGGAGACAGGGCGAGCGCTGAGCGGGTGCGCGGGAGCCTCCTCTCTCCCCTCGCTCTCGCACTCTTTGCTGGATCCCTCGCCGTCTCGGCACGTGCCTCAGCTGGCCCAGATGTCCGACGCATGAGCCACCGCACAGCCGAGGGGGGAAGGGCAAGGAGAGGAGTGGTGTGGAGATGAGAAGTATTCCGCCGCTTCTGAAAGCGCCCAGCGTTGTGAGTGCCCTCCACTTTGCGAATGGCACGGGCGGCTGGATGTTTAAACTGGTCAGCCCGCTCGCGGAGGACATGGGTAGACGCACCCGATTGCATCGGTTGTGTAACTGTCAGGTTGTTTGAATGCTGCGTTCTGGTCTGGTTTTTTTCTCGGATTGGGGCCATCAACACGCGACGGCTCCCCCTGCCAACGTTTGACCGAAGAAAGGTGGGTACTCAGGGTGGATGCGGAGGAGGAGGCTCATTCGGCGACCAGGGCTAGTTGAGACGGACGAGCAAGTCAATCATGTGTATGATGACGGATGAGAAAGGATTAACAGTGATGACAGAGGAGGGATGAGTTATGAAGTAGACGGGCGGACACATACAAAGCTTGGGTGTAGCCAGTTGCTCGCGGAAAATCCGCCCTCCTGCCAGCGAAGCACTTTTTGTGTCGACCTTTCGATCGCCGCCCGGAAGGCCGTCACATGCGGCAGCTCTCGTCTAGACTCCTTGAGGAGTTTGCCTGAAGCCTCGTTTGGCCATCTTATGAATGTCTCGGGCGCCTGTGGGGCAGTCGTGCGGGTCCCTTGGAGCTCTCTTGGGCTGTCTATGGGCTGTCTTGGGGCCGTCTTGGCCGCCTGGGAGTCTCTTGAGGACGTCACGGGGTCGTCTTGGGCCTTCTAGAAGCCCTCTCAGGCCGCCCTGGGTCTATCCTGGGGCCGTCTTGGGGCCAGCTTGGAGCTCTCTTGGGGCCGTCCTGGGCCGTCGAGGGGCCCTCTTGGGGCTCATGGTGAGAGGGACGGGCATGAGGATGATGATGATGCTGCTGCTGATGATGATGCTGATGATGATGAGGAAGATTATGATGATGATGACGATGATGATGATGCTGATGGTGGTCGTGACGATGGTGATGCTGCTGCTACTGATGATGATGACGATGATGATGATGACGAAGATGAAGATGGGGGCGGATGTTGATGATGCTGCTGCTGATTATGATGATGAATCTGATGCTGCTGATGATGATGAATGAATGAATTTGTGAATGAATGATGCTGATGCTGATGATGATGATGCTGATGATGTTGATGTTGGTGATGATCATGCTGACGATTATGATGATGCTGATGGTGAACATGCTGATGCTGATGACGGTGATTACGACTGTGGTAAGAGCATGGTTGATAATGATGCTGCTGACGATGATGG